TTTGAGATCACTTTCTTCAAAAGGACATAACGTAGAAGTCACTCTGCTCTGTACATTTGTGCTTAAGAGCGTCTACAACCAACTCCTGAGGTGATAGTACTGATGAATCTTCTGATACTATCATAATTTCAACAGTTCATTGAATGCTTTACCTTCTTGGCTTCTCTCACGAACATAGTGTTTCAAGATTAGACGACAGCAAGCAATAAGCCGGGCAATGAGAGCACCAACAGAAAAACCTTAAAATATGGGGTTGAGCAGATGATTGAAGTGATTCACCAATTAGAAGCATTATTGAGAAGAACAACGTTCCTCCCATCTTATCACGGATGTCTTATGAGTATCTGAAACAGAAGAAGCTTGACGGTGCAATCGTGTGCATCATTTAGGAAGAAAACCAAGTATAACCACGGAACAAAGGAGTAATCGAAAAAAAAGAAACTAAAACGAAGTAAAAAAACTGAAAAAATAAAACACTATCAACATACTCTCATGACTACACCTGAACGTGGAAATAAATTTCCGATGTTGAACAGGAAATTGTTTCCAAAAATGGCTGTAGAGATAGTCGTATGATCCATTTTGAATAACAATCGTAACATATCGTTGCGAAAGATTCAAGAAATGATTTTCAAGAAACGAAGTCAGTAACCATTGTTGAAGAAGATTATTCGAATTCTTCGAAACCTCAATCTAGAAAGAGTATTCTTGGATATCTCTATTGAACAGTATAAGGAAGTTATTATATTAATATCCTTATTCAAAGAAGGATCTGTATATTCCTTTCATGCATAGCCCTGAATCTGTTTATTCGATGTAAATCATCTTGCTGTTCCCTGAAGCTAAACTTTTGAAAATCCTTGTTAATCCCTCGAATGAATGGATCTCATACCAGAAATGAATTTGATGTTGTTTGAACCTTCAGCTCATTGTCTTCAATTGTACTCGAATACCTTTTCTTCATAATATCATATATTTAGATTTCTGTTGTATTAATCATCTATTATAAGTTTCATGAAAAGATTCTCATGACGTCTTCTGTATTCTCATTCAGCAGTTAGTATATCATGAATAGATGAAATTTCATTGATAACTTCATATTCAAACAATATTCTATTGAAAATCATTTTTTATTTTTGCTGTTCCCTCTAATTCATCTTGAAAGAAAGCTATTCAACTCTTACTTTGACCTACATGCAGATTTCTATTTAATCATGCTTTATTCTAATATATAATTCACAGTTTGTGTTTATTCAATCAGTTCCAACATTGGAAGTCTGCCATAGCCATGAAAAGCTTAAAAGTTAGTTGGAGAAGTTAGAGAAGCCAATCATGCTGTTTGCTTTTTCAGACATTTTAAAAAGGAAATGTCTCTCAATAGTCTCAGTAATTCCTTCTCAACTCCACCCAAAGGACTGAAGAAAAATAAAATATTCATTAAAAATCACACTTCATCTTATATACAACAGTATACTATAACATTATATGTTATTCAACAATATGTTGAAAGCTATAGAAGAGAGAGAGAGAGAGAGAGAGAGAGAGAGAGAGAGAGAGTGAAAGGTCTCTCTGAGATACGGAAAACCCAATTGTCTCAAAACAATGAGGCAGATGGGAAACAAAAATCAGTTT